CAGCACGAAGTTGCGCTTGCAGCCGTTCTGGATCTCGGCAAGCAGGGCCTTCTGCGTCTCGATGAAGCTCTTTACCTGTGGGCGGGGTGGGCCTGGCTAGGGGTCTCGGGGGCCCTCGCAGTGGTGCCTGGCCTGCCCAGCTGCATGGCCCCGGCAGAGCCACCTCCCCTGCCACGCCAGCCCGGGGGCCAGAGGGGAGCCCGCTCACCGCCTCCTTCTTGGGCTCGCGGTCAAGGTCCAGGCGCAGCAGGGAGTGGTTCACCTTGAGGGCCAAGGACAGCGCCATGAGCCCGCCAGTCTTGATCTCGTTCTCCCGCAGGTCCAGCCTCAGGAGGCGGGGGCTCTCGGCAATGAACTCCGCCACCGCCACCGCGCCTGGGAGGGGGACCGCAGGGGCTGGCCATGGGCCCCATGCTGGGCCAGCAGCCCCCCTCAGCCCGCCGGGCCTGCGCCCCTGCCTGCCCTGCCCTCTCACCCTCGCACGTGAGCTTGGTGGAGGCCAGGCCGAGGCGCAGCACGCTGCGGTTGCTGATGAGCCCATTCTTCAGGTTGCGCACACCCTCGTTCCCAATGGGGTTGTGGCCCAGGTTCAGCGTCTCCAGGCTCTGAGTGTGCGGCTGAGGGGACAGTGAGGGGGAACCCGGTGGTGGAGGAAAAGCCCAGAACAACAAGTCAGGGAAGAACCAGAAAAAGAGGCAAACACAACTGTTCTTTTTCCTCGGCTGGGCCGAGTCTGGAGCATGGGGGTTCCTGTCCCACTGCGGATCTGGAAAAGCCTGATCCTTCGTGTGTCCTTAAAAATGTCCCCCAAATCTTCCCCAGGACACACCCGGGCCAACGCCCCACAGCTCCAGGCCCTCCATCTGCCCTGGCCAGTGCTTGTATGGGCTCATCGCTGAGGCCCGGCTTGTGAGGCTGCGCCTGGTGCCCCTGCATTTCCCTCAGGACTCAGGGTGCTCAGCCCTCACCTGTGCCAGTCTTAACCTGGGCGCCAGCTGTGGGTGCACCCTGGGAGTCTCTGCCCCGTCGGCTTGCTTTAAATACGGCATAGCAAAAAGATTTAAAACTCGCTTAAGGGTTCTAGAAATACTAACTTATTAT